AAACTTATTACTTTGCGAACATTGCCTTTTGTGATGTTAGTAATCGATACGAAAACTGTTACATATTAACTTTAGGAAGTTTGCGTGGTGTTAATGTCAATTGGTTGGTTAACGTTGGTTGTTGCTTTAGTAATTTGTATGATTTCGAGAAAATCTGAGTGACAGACATAATAATTGCGATGATGTAGGTGATGGGCGATCTTGTTTCGCATGCTTTACAATATAATTGACTTTGATTAATTTCTAATTTCTCCATTATCTTGTTGATAAACTTCTACCGGCTAGTCTTGAGATATTTTATGATGTGTATTTACAGTAGTTAGCAAGTGGAAAATTTATACTAAAGCTTTATTATGTCGCGCATAATGAATGTATTATAGTTTTTTTGTCGTGGGAGGGTTTCATTGTCATTGTTGCAGTTGTATTACTGTATTAGATATGACGTTGTTCAGGTTAAGTAAATATTATATACTACGTAATGTAAATATTTATGTTCTAGTCCATCAGAATACGACGTTGTGTAACGGTTTTATTAATTTATTCCTGACGGTCGCAGGCTATACAAAAGCGTGTGTGGGTGATTGATGATGTAGTGAATTTGCACTTCTATCACTTTTATTCATTTAAACCGCCAAAAATAATTAAAACTCGGTTTCTGCTTTAACAGACTCTTAAATTTTTCTTGACAAAGGTCAATAACCTTTCGTTTTCTTTACTTATTCCATCTACTATATGAAAAACTATAGACGAAAAATAGAGAGGTTTAATCGCGACGTCGCGATGGTTGCCTTCGTGATGGCTTTTTTTTTCCTTGGACGGTGATGTAGTTTCAGCTGCAGAGTTGTCCGAGGTGAGAGTCGCTGGGGATGGCGGTGATGTAGGTTCAATGTGAGAAGGAGGTGTTGCGAGCTGATGTGTTGTAGGTTCTTCGGATTCTTTTCCTGCAGATTTTACTTGCTTCGACTTTCTCTATCGACGTGAGTCGTTGTTTATTATTATCATCATCTTCTATCCATATAGATGAATCCCTCTTCAGTCCTTCGAATTTGGGACTAGTTTGAGTTACGAATTCGAAGTTATGAACTTCACAATATTTTTGACTTTCATTGATTTCCAATTCCCCTGTTATCATTAGCTTCGATCCTCTTTTGCCGACGAACTTTTACCTGCTAGTCTCGATACGTTTTTATGATGGGAACATAGAATATTGCATTCGAACCATTTGAGACCGCTCGCATCCTTACCCACAAATTGTTTAGAGGCTATGTTAAGATTCCAATAGTCGTCTTCTAATTGTGGTTGGTCTTTCAAAATACCCATGCACATTATGTGTGTAAAGCTTTCTGGAAGGGATTCTCATTATAGTATGTGTTTTGACATCTGTACGCTGATATCTGAAGATCGTATTATAATAAATTAATAAATACAAATTATGTTAAGATGAGATGTAACGTAATTTACTTACTTCGCATACATCGTCTTTTGTGATGTTAGTGATCGATCCAAAAATCTTTACTACATCATCTTTAGAAGGTTTGTATACGGGTGTTCGTATGGTGTCAGTAAGAGGAATGAAAATCTTGATTAATAATTTTATATGCGTACGTCCAAAGTTGTACGCTGACGCATGACATTGCATTATTGATATTCATGGGTAGTTGTTTCAGCTATTTGTCATATCAGGCAAGTAGTGTCGATTTGTATGAACATCTTTTTCGCTAACAGTGATGATTTTTGAAGGAATTGAGTAGTTGAGAGGAGCTGTTAAAATTGGAGAAAGAGTTTGGTTTTTCGGTGTGTGGCTTATATATTTATGGGCTTTTATTCTCTTCTTTTTACAAGATATGTAAATAGATAAAAACAGCATAAACTGGGCTTTAGCGAGCACCTCGTTGTGAATAAAATTTCCTCGCGATATACCTTTTATTGCACCAGAAGTCTTCCATACCTTCAAATTTAGTCAGAAATCAGATGTGTATTCTTTTGGTATCATTATGTCTTTTATGGCTTCTGGTGAACCTCCATTTAGAGACAGAGAATTTGATAGAGATTTGGTATGTGAGATCATGGCATCGATGCCTGATTCCGCACCAGAAGAATACAAGAAACTTGCCGAGAGGTGTTGTGATGCTGATCCTGATAAGCGTCCCGATGCAGACACACTTTACAGGGATATTCGCAAGCTAATTGCAAAGGTGGAAAACAACGATTTTGATGATGACGTATGGAATACTATCATAATGACGTAAAACCCTTATCAACCGTCTCGAAAAGGAGAATAAATACTCTAGTAAACTTTTACCTACTGGAGATTTGCCCGAACCGAGGAACAGTTATGGTTTTAATTCAATTGCAGGTATGGCGAAAGCAATTGATTACATATTGATATTTGGTGAAGTCGATTTAAAAATTAACGCTGTGATTGTCTTATATTAATATGTAGTGACTCAAGATTTTGAATTATAATTAAAATATGGCAATATGCTCGACACGAGTTAAGTCTAATGAAAAAAAATAAGAGTCTGTCTTTCACCTGTTTATTGTCAATGGCAGACTGTTTACAATGACATGACAACACGCCACAATACACGTTTGATTTGTTCCGAACGTTTTTAACAATAATCTAGCATCACGTTTAAGAACAGTAAAATAATAATATATCAAAGATGTTTCTCTACACCTCAATCCAAGACAACTTGAATTATGAATCTTACTATTGTTGCAACTCGGTCAGACTCTCAACCAAAGGCTAATCCAGCAAGGTTCTTATTATCCAATTTATTCGAATAAATGCAATAATGGTGAAGAATTGAGCAAGAAAATTATAACTTTCTGTTTAGGTTTGCTAACTAGTAGTAATAGTAACAAAAAAAGCATGGTCTACGTGTTTGATAAGTATTTTATTTTAATATTATTACTATCAAAAAATGTAGGCTCGAATTTGCGTCGTTTTGTTGATAATTACATTGATTTATAGAGATGGACTATGATATAATTGTAATATACAACATACAGGAAAAATTAAGGGCGATGTCCAATGTTTCACAATAACATAAGGTAAGAAGCTCGGGAGAAATTAGTCAAAAGAAAGCCGGTTTCAATTGCAAGAAGCAACTTGAAACTATTGCAATGAAGTCAAGTTAAAGTTATGGATTTTAGTCAAGTAAGTGTTTTTTGCTTATCAACTTAACTGTTTTTCTTTTACCATAATATGCTGGGAAAGGGTAAAATGATACTATGGTTAATGTACTCCTTTGATAATTCCCACAAAGCTAGCAACCTGGACAGTCAATCTACATGATTGATATTTAATGCTGCATAAACAAACAAACTTCTGTATAGCAATTGTCATAGTAAATACGCAATATAACACAATAAAGAAACATTCTCTCACTTGATCACGTAGTTAGTTCAATTGTGAGAGTCAATTATTGTGTTGCGTTTTATCTAAAATATTCATACTTATGCAGTCACTATGCTAATAGTACTATTGTATAAGAAGTTGACCAATCGCTGATTTCATTATACCTCATTGGACAAATGGATAAATATAGTGCCAGAAATAATTTCCTGTAGAATTCTGTAATATTTAGATCGAGGCGAAAACCAGGAATAACAGAACTTTAAGTTAAGTTTTGGGTAAAACGTCAGGTTTAGGTTTTTTTGGTACCAATAAAAAAAAAATCCAAGATGTGTGTTTTGACATACAGTATTTAAAAGTTTAGCTTTAAAATTACATAAAGTTATAATAACAAATACTCAACTTTATTTCCTATAAATAGTTAAATTGTTGTCGTTTTCAACAATGTGTTTCTTTTCACCCATAAGCATTAGTACGTACGCAGCAATAAATTAATTTTTGCAAATTTATGCACAACGTAAGACAATGGACCACAAATGGATAAATGAGAATTGGAGGGAAAAAAAGGGGGGGAAATGACGTAAGTATATATAAATACTGGTAACCGATAGTGAGCTGTTCGTGTCATCTTCTTAAATACAGATCTTTTCGCGACGGACAAGACAAGGACAACTGGTTATCTAAGCCAACTTAGTACCAAACGAAGGTTTTATAGCGTCAAACACATCACGCAGCAAACGTTCATCGATACAATCAGACGTGGACAAAACAGGTCCATAGTTATGGCGAGTATTCCACGAGCGATAGCTGACTCGTAATTGCAAAAAAACGGTATGATTGTTTAATTTGTTATTGTATGAGAGTTAATATTGTGAAGTTAATTAGATGCCTTTTATCAAACTTGTAGTCGACGGTGATTACAGCAATGGTGGTAATAGCACACTGTACTTGTGAAGCAAGCAGAGAAGTAATATTCTTATTGCTATAAACCAATGGAGAGTTATATTGGAGACAGCGCTTTATTGAGGGATTTAGAAAGAAAGTATTAGATTTGCCTTGTTATTATCATATGGTATGACCACCCCCTCCTTTAGCTTACCCCAAAGTCAGTTATAGGGAGTTTGACATATAATATTATTAATCAATAAATCGATATTGCTTAATCTATTAAAATGCTAGAACTTTTGATGTCAAATGAACGTGTTGTATGTAAATCCCGTCACCATGTAAATCCCGTCAAGGACCCCAAAATAAATAGATGAATGTCGTACGTAAATTCCGTCAAGGACCCCAAAACCGCATTTACATATGTAAATCCGGGATTTACATGGCGACGGGATTTACATACGACATCGATAATCTACAACAGGGTTGCATTCAAATTTGTTAATTTAGATATGACGTCGTCGCGTGAGGTTAGGGAACGTTAATTTACTTTTATTTTTTCGTTAAAGAGTCTGTCTTTGAACCTGTTTATTGTCAATGTTTAATCAGACAAATTCGACTCTAGGCATGCGAGTTTAATTTAATGTGTTCGTATTGCTGATTTATTCGTTAAACTAGTGGTTAGCATAGGAAAAAGGGGAGCTGTAAGTAAAAGCAATTATTTGTTGAAATACTTACCACCCATTTGATTATCAATCAAAGTCAATGTCATATATTGATATGATATGCAGTTCACAGTTATTTATATGGTTAATTCACCTGTTGTTGAAAAGTTTTATAAAATAAATAGAAACGACAAAAGTCGGGTCCAGCCATAGGATCAGTTAATGTAGACGTTAGACGGAGATGACGTAGACGAAGATGGTGTAGTTGGAGATGAATGGGTGATATAAAATGCGGTAGACTTTTAATTTCCTGAACTATACTTGCATATCGGGAAGTAGTGGTAGTGTTGGCCTTTTGCGAGGAAGGTGATTGTAGATATCTTGGAACTGAAACTGTCATGTGGAACAGAATATCTATATCTATAAGTTCCAGAAGAAACATCTTATCTTCTCCGATCGTCAGTAATCCAGAAATAACGAACGGTCGCTCACTCGTTAGTTTGCTAGTAGCATTTACTAGTCTTGTGTCTTCTTCTCTGACTACGACATTTACTGTTTGTTCTACTTTCTTGCTGTTAGTAACAGCATTGTATTCGCTATAAGTAGCTTGGAAAAATCGGACATTCGATAGTTTTTCGGTGGACTTGCTAATACTACTGTAATTGTCATTGTGGGAGTCGATATCGGAAGTTCATTGTCAGACACATGCGATTCTGAACTCTTAGTTCGGAGAAGTGTCGAATTTACGAGTGTAATATATAACATCTCATTTCCATATACGAGTCTTCCGGTAAACTGAACGACGTCACCTACGTTAAAATCTTGCCGGTATTCATTAGTTGCACTAGGAAATACTTATACGTAATATTCTGAAAACAATCAAGCTCGTGTTGATACGCCGCCACCCCTTGAATCATCTTGTTAACGACTTCTTTAGTGTTAATTATAACGGATACCGTTGCTGTGTTTGGCATTTTTTTTTCGCTTCGATTTTGTTGGGATTTTTTAAACTTTAATAACCTAGCACAAACGCTTACCTACTTCTTTTTATATGTTATGCATGATCTGATGATTACATAAAATCAGCTTGTGCATTTTAGGTAAAGTGATCACCATTAATTTATGCGCACAAGAATTTTAAATAAGTCGAGCATCTGATGATGCATTGAAACAACAGGAGAATTTATGATCAACATGTGCAGCCAAAAATATTATTAGCGCATAACTATTAATCGTAATATATCGAGGTTATCTGTATAACGGATATTGGTATTGTTACCATCCTATCCGATACATTATTTTTGTTCGCCGCTATTTTAAACCAGATAAAATATTTCACACAAAGTAATAGTAAAGACATCACCAAAGTCTTTTCTTAATTGAAATTAAATTGAATACAGTATATAATAATGTCT